AAGAGTCATTTTTGAATAGGGGGAAGCTTTCTGGAAGTAAAATAGTTAAAACTTGCACATATGATGTTTGGAATTCCTTTTCTAAAGTTATAATTAATGAAAAAATAAAGGCTAGTTATAATTGACAATGCCTCTATAAATCATAATATGTAAAAGAAATTGAAAGAGAGGCTAGCTTTACAAGACAGTGTAAGCTTGATTTGTGAAGGGAAATTTTTTTCATATAAGGTACTGTGCCTATAGCTTAAACATGATAGTTCAAGAGGGTTTTAAAGTGACAAGTATTACTTTAAACAAGACTAGGGACATCATTAAGTATGTGAGAGAATCAGTGTAATGTCCACTCTGATATTACTAGGACAACACTCTTACATACTATTATGATAACTTAGATTAGATAAAATCATAAGTAAAAGTTATCACAACCTAAGGGTTTAAAAGATACTGAGTTAAAATAATGGAATCCTAAGAAAAATCCTTTTTAAAATAGTGTTTGAGCTCACACCATAGTTGAAAATCAATTAAATACAAATATGGAAGCATGAAAAACAAATAGCACTTCAAAACAAGCTGAAACAAACCCTTTTTTCAAAATCTAGTTCATTCACCGTGGCGCAAGCCATATTTGTCACTGCGGATAGCACAAAGGGATGAATCCCTCAGAAGGCATTTGCTTTGAAATTCTAAAGCACGTTGTTTCGCCATCCAACATCCAATTTGAGCGGTTCAAGTGTCTACACGAAGCTCTTCGAGCCTTCTAGCTAATAGCACTGGTCTCACACTTAAATGGTCATCCATTAAAAGGATAGATATGAAAATCCAAAATGATTCATTTTCACCTTGAAACACATTCAAAGGTGTCAACTCATAATACCAAATGCCATTAGTCCTGAGAACACTTTGACCACCTCTAATGGACCACACACAATATGACAAAACAATCATATCACATAATTAAGCATTCATACTCAAAATGACTACCTAACCCCAAATTGATAACGACATAAAGGGTGGTTTAAACTTAACACACATATCAATATGGTCATTTTGATGCATAAATCACTTTAAATATATCACTTGTAATAGTATCTCAGCCAAGCACACTCATGTAATTACAATAGCATCAACCTTAGGTCAAGATACGCACACATATCTCAAATTCATACAAGTGATAACAAAACAATATCATGTTCCTAAGTTGGTATTATAACATAGCATATTCGTTAAAACCCAAAAAGGAAAGGAAAGAGCTATACAACTATTGCTCTTCAGTGTTTAGTTGTCCCTTCCTTCCCTTTGCCCCTATCGAAGCCCTCACCTGTAAAATATAACCACATGGTGAGATAAACATCTAAGTAGTAGAATAACTTACTACTAATATGCACAACCATAAGGAAGTAAAGCTATTAAGCACTAAAATATACTTTTAGTATATTAAAACATACTCTTTTCCATAAACACAAATCATTTACCTCTAGCATAATTAGTCTACCATTCAAACCTCCATATCACTCCAATTGAAACCATAGGCTCCCGACCTAAGTGCACATTCAAAATGGTTTGAGCTTAGCTTCATTGGTAGGATCACCCAGCCAAAGGTGTCTTATCCTACATTTGAACTATGGTCTTCCTCTATTACACATGAATCGGAGTGTCATTACTCTAACACTGCATCATTAATGCTAAGAAGCATCACTGTCTAACACCGTATCCCGCATGGATACTAAGGAGACTTTCTCCAATATCGTGCCTCACTAAAAACTAAGGAGATACAAGCCATATGGACTTCCACTACTCCTTCTTACGGGTGAACTCCTACCCTCTAACATGATTATGCTCATTCTTGCCACACATTTTACGCTTATGAAAAATCATTGCTTTTGACATAAGGATTAAAAATTCTTTACCATTTCAAAAGTAGCTTCTAATGCACAAGAAAATAATCTTTCGCAACATGCCAAGGTTTCAAAATACATATAAACAAATATATTTATTTATTCACAAATAGTTAAGCAATATAATCAATCAGTGTAAATTATTCTGTTACCTTAACCTTTTGTCACACAAAAGGGTTACCATAGCTTAACGTTAGCTCCAAACGTTCTATATGCACGATATAGCTTGAGCAACACTCAATCTATACAATCAAGTGACAATTGTCAATTATCACTCTAAATATACCCTGAATTCACTGGGTTCTAAGTACCTATAACACCTAAATTCCTTCTTTACCCACACCAATCATTTTTAAACATTCTAACCATCCTATCAAATATCCCAACATACCAAAATCATCATCTAATTCCTTGTATTGTCTCAAAACCTCCAGATTATGTCTAGGGTTTGTCTAAACCCTCAACTAAAATTTTAAATCACTATAGAACTCATAAACCTAGGGTTAGAGACTTGATTTAACTCCTAAGATGTTAAATAAGCCAATAGGTTCAGACTAAACCTAAGGAAACCGAGATCAAAGCCTCTAATGCCCTAAAAGTCAAAAATTTCATATAAAGAGGTAAGGAAAGGGAATATGGAACTTACCCAATGATTATTTAAGCTCCAAATGCTCCCAATATGGCCTAATGATCGTGCCCTAGCAGTATATAAGCTCTCTCTAACTCTCTCTCATTTTTCCTTCTTTCTTCCTTTTGTTTCTGGTTTGTTTTTCGTGACTGATAAGTGTTGATTTTGCACGTGCGCCACGATGTATTGACACGCCCACCATAGCGTATGGCATAAACAGTCCTATTAAAATTTAAACTTTCCTCCGTGCTATGGTATACTCAAACTTTGACCTAGCCTTCTTTTAATGTTGACTAAGGATTTGAAATTATATTAGTTTCCTATAAACATCCTTAATCAAAAATTTATCTAAATTGACCAAAATACTCTTGGAAACATTGCTAATTCCTAACTTGAAAATTTAAGATGTTACAATCAGAGGCAGGGATGATTGTTATCAAGCAATGTGTTGAAGAAGTGGTGGTATTGATAGTTTAATAGGTTTGCAGATGGATGTACCCATTAGATGGAATTCAACTTTCGCAATGCTTGAAAGTTTATTAAAATATCATCGTGCTTTTACCAGCTTATCTTGCCATGATATAGGTTTCACATTTTACCCAACACATGAAGAGTGGAGGAGAAGGGAGGAGATGTGCAATTTCTTGAGGCTATTTGATGTTATGACAAGGTTGATGTCTATGTCATCTTATCCTACTTCAAATTTATATTTCTCTCAAGTGTCAAAAATTCGACTCTTGTTAGATGAAAATATGTTCAATAGTGATCTTGTAATTTGTAAAATGGCTAAAAGAATGAAAGAAAAGTTTAATAAGTATTGGAATGATCATAGCACTATCCTTGCAATTGCAGTTGTGCTTGATCCACGAACGAAGCTTCAAATGATACAATATATATATGCCAAAATTGATCCTAGAAGTTACCATGTTAGGATTGGGAATATTCAAAGCAAATTAAAATATATTTTTAATCAGTATAAAGAGATGACTTTTATTTCTGATGCTGGGGTTGGATCAAGTTCAACAATGCCAACACATGGATATCAAGCTCAATCCTCTATTACTTCTAGTGTTTTAATAAAAACAAGCAATATTCAAGGAATTTTAGATGTAAGTTTTTTCTTCATATTTTTAATCTTATTTTAATTTTTTAAGAGATATATTACTTCAAATTTTTGCATAATGCAGGATTGGATTAGTTATACAAGTATGGATTTTATGTCTATTGGCAAGTCTGAGCTTGAACTTTAAATGAAGCAATATTTCAGTCTCATGTATATCAAGAGTTGGATATCCTTATTAATGGAATACTAATAAGGGTAGATTTCCAATTCTTTCAAAGATAGTAACTGATGTACTTAGCATTCTAATTACTATAATGGCAAGTGAATCTGCATTCAATATTGTTTCACATGTTTTTATAAAATACCGGAGTACTCTTATTCTTGATAACTTTTAGGCTCTTATTTGCATCGGTAATTGGTTACGTGGTTTTCAAGATAATGGTAATATGTGATTATATATATATATATATATATATTTCTTTCTTGATTAGAAGCAAATTTCATTAATTTATATTATAAAACTTGTTCATTCATTGCAGATAATGAAATAGTAATTGAAAATGAGAGGAAATCATTTGAAGAAATTTCACCCATTGATATGCCCACTGAGAGTTCAAATGTAGCTTTGGATGATAATGACAATGCCAATCAAGAGAGTTAAGAGAAATAGGGAATTAGATAAAATTGATAGTATGGTGTTATGAACTTTATTGTGAAATTTTCATGTTTCATGAAGGAATTATGCAATTATGTATTATTAAACTTTTACTTTCAAGTTGTTTGAACTTTAAACCCTTACAAGCTTTATTGATAGCATGCTTTTGTTGTTAAATTAAGCAATTCGCTTTCAAAATTTTGTTATTAATATTAATATTAATGTATTTTTTATGATTTATTTCATGTATTTTATCTAATTTAGAATGCATTGTCATGTTTATATTGTTTGAAAAAAATTAACTTTTAAATTACAAATTGAAATCAGTTCAAAGATGGAAATTTTTTTTTTCAAGTTTTAGGTATTCGAGCCAGCCCAAATAAGTCTGAAACTCGAAGACATTAGGATCGAGCTTGATATGGATTTTTTTTAAAGGATATGATACTTAAAACTCGATTCGAGTGAGTTCAACCCGAATTCAGCTTGACTTACCTGAATTACCAGCTGTAGATGAAACAAAGTGTCGGGTGAAGACATCTTGTGATCCGAGATGACAGTCTAGGTTTTTCTTTGTTCCGTTTGTCCTTTTTTTTTTCCCTGGGTTACTGTTGTCTTGAGCCAGTTTGTACTTTGTGTGCTCTGGGCTAACGTTTTCTTGGGCTGTTTGATTGCAAAGCCTTGGGCCTCTTACGTTGCGTAATAAACAAAAAAGCGTCGGCCCGATACGAAGCAAGGAAAACCTAGATTTTCAATTTCATCGGCACACGTGACCCTACTCTATAATTTTTGCCGTAAATAGTCAGGTTTTTCCATTCCCAACCTTCACCTGGCGCGAGAATGCTTATGGGAGTTAAATACATTTGAATTTGTATTACAAATGTCGAGGCTTCTCGCAAGAATTGCTGGGTTTTTCAGCAATCGAGCGCAAGTTGGAGTCGACAAAGCGGGGAACAGATACTTCACCAGAAAAGAAGAGATCGATGGTGTCAGTAAGTGGGTTTCTATTCTTTCTCTCGTACCATCCCTATCTTTTCTCCGGCTATGGCTATTATTGTGAATTTGTAGTGATGCATTCGCACTTGCGAATTGTATTGCCTAAAACTTACGGATTCTTGTCCAGCGATTGAGCTGTACTCTGTGGTTTACTTGAAAGCACGATTTTATTTATTTATTTATTTTTGAATTTTCGGATTTTGATTTCCAACATGTTTCTGGTATAAAAGCTATCAGTTCACAAGAAATAGATATTATAAGTTGTAATAGCATAAGTTGTGTCCCTTGTATGTCTCCAACTGGTAGAGCTTGCAGTTGCAGTTGGCATTGCCTCTTATAATGGTAAAAACTGACGTTTTATATTACAAGGTCACTCCTTTGAACTTTCAAAGAGGAGATATTTACGAAATCTCTTATGTGGGGATTATTTATCAAAATTAAAAAACAACAAAAAAAAAGTTTAAAATTAGCACATTTGTCTCTGGCATGGAAAACTGACCAAAAATTACTTATCTCTTCTATGTAGCATGTGTGCATGATGTTGGAATTTTAAAATTCTTGTCCTCTGCAAATTGTGTTGTTTTCATTGCGTCATAAATGAAGTATAGTTTACCGAAAATCTGTCTCATTCTGTTTTTCTTTTCCATCCTTTTGTTGTCTTGGTTTACTAGTTAAAGAGAAAAGATGGGTGGTGTTTAAGGGAGAGGTGGATTCTACTACTCTTCCAGGTGAATCTCTTGAAGTATATTTATTGGAATAACTATTGGATTAAATATGTAACTTATAAGACACGAAGTAGGTTGAATAATTTTTTCTTTTTCCAACTTATTTTCATAGTCTTTTGTTGCAAAGGCTGATTGCTTTACCCTCAAGGTCTCAGCATCAGATAGGCATGACATTCATGTAGAAATTATACATGACTTTGGCAGCCTTATGTTATTTCTATTGTGATGAATGGTTATTGCTCAATTTTTATAGTTGAATGGATATGTTGGTTGAATGGGCAGCGTAAACAGGCTCCAACCACAGAGGTAAATTAAAAAAAAAACAATTTGTTCTTCTACTACTTTTATTTTGTTCTCTTCCAGCACAGTAAAGTGTTCTACAGAAAATGCTGTCGATGTTTCTTTAACTTCCAATTTCATTCTTTGCTAATTGACACTATTGTATAAAGTAATTAACAATTATATTGATAATTGGATTATCTAAAATCAAAAATTCCATTGACATTACTTCACCGAAGCTACTTACAACCTCTTCAATGGATAATGGAGGAGGATAAAGTGATAGAGTAACTAACATAACTGTTACAAAGGAAAATAACTGATAATAAACACTGGAATAAGAGAATGAAACAGCAAGGAACCACTTCCCTGACATTTGGGAGGTCAGGGGCTCTCCCACTAGCCAACCATTGTCTGGATACCCTCTCCCTAGGGCGCACAACCCTAGATAATAGTCTTTGCCTTGTCCTTCTTGGATCTTGGGGTCGCATTACGGTCTGCCCCCCCCATTCCTGCTCTCTTGCTGGTTCATTAGTGGACTAATGGCCTTCTTCCTTTTTCAAACATGGCCCATCTAAGTTCTGGGGGCCCATTAGGTACTTACATATGTGGCAGGATCAAGCCAGAACTTGTAGAACCAATTTGTCTCTTCAATCCAAGAACAATGCAAGAAGCTAGAAGTCTTGCAATATTGCGAGAAATCATGCTAATGCGTTAAGCAGAAAAGAAGGTGAATTTTTTTTTTGGAATAATTCATATGTATTTCATGGACTAAAAGGCCGATACATATGTAGATGAAATTAGGAGAGAAAGAATCTAATTAGATCCCTAAACTCTACTGAAATCTCTAATATATAAAAGCTAATTAAAACCCTGAAAATAGTAACGTTACAATGCAATAAGAAAAAAGGAAAATAGGTCTAGAAGTCATAGTGGTCCTGAAGCCCAAAGACTGAAGGGCCTCATCTATCACTCCCCCTTAAGTTGGTGAGTAGTGTTGATCATTTTTAACTTGCTTCAAACTTTTCTCGGGTTAATGGTTTGGTCATTGCATCTGCAATTTGCTCCCTTGAAGGAATATATGATAGATCGATGGCTTTCATATCTAATTTCTCTTTGATAAAATGCCGATCAATCTCCATATGTTAGGTACGATCATGGTGCATTGGGTTGTTGGCAATCTTGATTGCAGACATGTTATTGCACCATGCTTCAATAGGTCCAATCATATCAACCTTAAGTTCCTTTAGAAGTCTAACAATCCACATTCCCTCACAAGTTCCTAGAGCAAGTGCCCTATATTCATACTCAACAGAGCTTCTTGAAACCACTGGTTACTTCTTACTTCTCTGGGTCACTGGGTTACCTCACACATAAGAGCGATAGCTAGTAGTAAATTGTCTATCAACCTTTGAACAAGCCCAATCAGCATCTATGAACAATTCTATACCCCAAGTGTCACGTTATGCAAAGAACAAACCTAGTCCTTTAGTCTTCTTTAGATGCCAAAGTATCATAAAAATAGTAGCCATGTGTTCCTTTTGAGGACAACTTGAAAATTGACTAACTACACTCACATGAAAACAAATGTCAGGTTTGGTATGAGATAAATAAATTAGCTTGGTCACCAATCTCTGATATCTTTCTTTATTTACTACAGTCTCATCAAATTTGATGGTTAGTTTTTGATTCAATTCCATTGAAGTATTTGTAGGCTTTGCTCCCAACATCCCTGTTTTAGTCAATAGATCTAGGGTGTATATTCGGTGTGACACACTAATTCCCTTGTGTGTTTGCATCACTTCCATACCCAAGAAATATCTCAAGGGTCCAAGATCCTTTGACCTCAAATTGCATTGCTAGGTTGATCTTTAGTTTGGGAATTTCTACACCATCATTTATTATCAATACTATATCATTGACATACACAATGAGTCTTGTTATCTTATCACCACAATGTTTAACAAATAAAGTATCATCAGCCTGGTAGTGTTGTATCCCCAGCACTTGATAGAGCATGTAAAATTTACGAACCACACCCTTGGTGATTGTTTCAGGCCATATAGAGAGTTGATCAACCTACAAATTTTGTGAGAATTGCTAGAATTTTGTAGTCCCAATGGAATCTTCATATAAACTTCTTCCTCAAGGTTGCCATTTAGGAATGCAGTTTTTAACATCAAGTTGATATAGAGTCCAATCTACATTTGCAGCATGAGACAACAAAACTTTTATAGAGTTAAGTTTAGCAACTAGGGTGAAAGATTCTTGGTAATCAATACCATAGGTTTGAGTAAACATTCAAGCAACTAATCATGCCTCATATTTGTTCACACTTCTATTGGGATTGTACTTTACTGTAAAGACCTACTTAGTACTCATAATTGACTTCCCTTCAGGCAATTCTGTAATTTCCTATGTCTTGTTTTTATAAAGGGCCCTTAGTTCTTCATCTACCCCATTCTCTCTTTTGTTAGAATTATATACTTATGACAATGTGTTTACATTGGAATAATCTGGGCAAAAGCTATTATTCTATTTGGACATAAATTATTTTAAGTGAATCTAAATTAATCAATTTATTATAGGAGTCGGGCATTCTCCTCGAAAGAACAAAGGCATAACATTTTTCTACCCTCTAGGTTGGTCATGCTTTCTTGGTGGATGGGTTGTTTTGTTCGACTAGGTGATTAACTGTGCGACTTTGGCTACTTCTTTTGACTTTAGACTTTAGAGCTGCAGCTTTGGGATTAGTTCTTTTCAAAGGTTCTTGTTATTTAAGAAGTGAATATTTTATAAAAGCTTGTTAATAGAGTAATTGTTGTTATTACTTGACAATGTTCCTTTTCAATTCCTCCTAGGAAATGATGGAGTTGGAAGCTAGGCGTGAACGTCTTAGACAGAATGTTGCTCGTATGTGGCATACTTCTTCCCTTAGCTGATATTTTTTCCCCCAATGCTGTGCTTTGTTTTATTGTTGTCATTTTTTTTTTTGCATGATAATTCTATTGTGATGAAATTTGTCAATATATATTATGATGTGGCCATATATTCTTCATATGTGATTGCAGGAAAGAGGTGTCAAAAAAGAAAAAAAGAAAAAGAAAAGCAGAGAGAGAAGAGAGACAATTAGAAATTGAGATTTATCATGAACTTTGTTATGTAATTATTATTTAGTTAAGATTTAATTAGGCTTAGATTATTTATGATCTATGATAGGGTTTAGATAGGATTTGATATTTAATTATATTAATATATTAGTAGTGTGAATAAGATTAGGGTAGATCCAATGCGTATAAATAAGAGGCAATATGGTAATTAATTTCCAGACTTGATTTATAGAATTCATATTCAGCTAAACTTTTTCTCTATTTCCTTTCTCTCTTTTCTCTGTCTACCACTGCACATCAGTGGTATAAGAGCTGAACTATTCTTGGCCTACTTCATGCTTGAAACTCATTCTCAAACCAGTCAATGAAACATGGCAGAACAATCTGTTGATCGATTTTGTGCTGGGGGATAGTTTTTATGTTGCTTATGTTAGAAGGTGTTGAAAGACTACAAAGCATGGTTTTAAAACCTGGATACGGTTGGATCAGTTTGGCTGTACCTTCAACATTGCTGTTCAGCTTGCAGATTTAGACTGCTTGGATGTTGACCTGGATTGAAATGCCTGAAATTGGATGTTGAGCCAGAACCCAGTGTGTTAAACCAGAACAGGGAGCTGGTTTATGTGAACTGGACGGGTCAAATTTTCTTCCTTTATTGAGAATAAGGACAAGAAAAAGAAGAAAGGAGGGAAGAGCAAGAGAAAGGCAATAACTGGCTTAGAAAAAGACAATAAATCAAGATGAAACAAGTGAAAAAATTTGAGAAAGAGCTGACCTACTTTTTCTTCCTTGGCAACGGCAAAAAGGTAGAGGAGAGATCTACAAGAATACAACACATGAAAAAAGGGTGGAGGAGGACAAACAGTAGGAGATAGATTGATTAGAAATAATGGAGGATTTGTAATCTTTAAGAGCTATTGTTGATTATAAACTAGCGTTGTAGAGCTATTCAAAACATGCAAAATCAGTGTTGCCTTGCGGAACTATCAGAAATATGTGAAGAGAGGGAAATGTTGCTGTGGATAGTGTAGATCATCAATGCTAAAATTGTGGGAATTGTGATTACATTAGTTAAGATTTATTTATTTTATCAAAATATATGTTAAGATTTAATAGAAAATAAAAATCTACCTTTCCATTAGGTGAAATTGCCCAAATCAAATCACAAGCCTGAGGTTTGAGACCATTTAGATATCTAGCAGCTAAAAAAAAAAATCTTTTAAGGGTATCGTGAAGGAATTGTTTCAATCAAAAGTTACACAAGAAAGCTTTTCACCATTTGCATCAGCAATTGTATTGTTGAAGAAAGATGGGTCATGTTGCATGTGCATCGATTACTGTGAACTTGACAGGAGGACAGTGAAGAACATGTATCCTATTCCTCTTGTGGAAGAACTTTTCAATGAATTAAGAGAGGCAAGATGGTTCACCAAGCTTGATTTGCATGACGGTTATCATCAAGTTAGAATGGAGCCTAGTGACATCTATAAAATAACTTTTAGAACTCATTTGACAAGCACAACATGACGAGTACAAGTTCAAAGAGAGAGCCCATCTAAAATGACTAGCTTGGTAGGAGTGCCCCCTAAACTTATAACCTTGGTGACTCCCTCTCCACGACACTTTACTTGGTTGCGGTCGGTTAGAACCTTCTGTAGGAAGTCCTTTTTGAGACCACAGGCTCAAAGGATGTGGTATCACTACCCAACAAACTAGCTTATTAGGTGAGAGAGCCCTTCACACTTATAAATCCCATATCATTTGTGAGGCTCCTCGATGTGGGACTCGTGACAATGTCACCTCGTTGAGAGCCAATGTCCCCGGCGGCTCCCTTTCATGGCACTTCACTCGGCCTCATGCTTATCAGAACCTTCTGTGGGTAGCCCTTTCTGTGACACCGGTGCTATGAACAGCATTTTCAGAGAGCAATTGAGGAAGTTTGTTTTTTTTTTTTTAAATGATATCTTGGTATACAGCCCTTGTATGGAGTCTCATGTGCAACACTTGCTTTTAGTTCTAAAAATTTTGAGGAAAAATAGCTATATCATGGAGAGTAAGTGTACTTTTGCTGCAACTCAAGTGGCATTGATAGAAAATATGGCAAATATTACTTTAGGAGGAAATAATTTATTATTTCTTATTGCCTTTCATTAGTTTATTGGTTTTGTTGTTTTTCATTTAACTTTTGTAAGTTTCCTTATTGTGAAGGAAACCAAGCAGCAAGTGGATTCTTATTTTATTAACTTTTGTAAGTTTCCTTCTTGTGAAGGAAACTAGGCAGCAAGTGGATGTTTCCTTGTTAGGAAGGAAACCTCATATGCTTATAAATAGCATGACTTGTATTGAGGAAGGGGAATGAATGTTTGAAGCATTATGATTTTCTAAAAGCTCCCTCTCTCTTCAGTTCTGCATCACTCTTTTGTTCTTCCTCTCATATTTCAATCACTTTTCTCTCTTTTCACCTTCTCTGTTTTCACTTCCCCTCCACCTCCCACTCTCTGTTTCTGTTTCTTCTCCCTTATCCTATTCTGTTCAAATCAGTGTGAGCGTGAGTGTTTGTGTTTTACATCAGGCATGCTTGGGTCATATTGGTAAAGGAGGGGTTTCAACTAATCCAAAGAAGATTAAAGCATTACTGGAATGGTTACGGTGATGCAATTGAGGTCATTTTTGGGGTGTGCAGGATACTACAGAAGGTTTATTAGAGGCTATGGGTCATTGACAAGGCCTTTGATGGATTTATTGAAGAAAAATAATTTCCATTGGTAAGTGAATGCTGTTGTCACGTTCAAAAAATTGAAAGGAACTTTGGTTGCAGCCCCGGTTCTCGCACTTCCAGGATTTTCTAATCTGAAATTGAAGACTTCATTCCAGATGTATTAGGTGGTGAAACCCATGAGTTATGATTATCAAAATTTTCTGTAAGAAAGGCAATGAAACTAGTTTAGTGGATGCTCTCTCTAGCGTGCCTAGATATGAGATTTTTCATATGGCTCTTCAAACATGTTCTTCTTCTTGTTTTTTTTTATGGCTCTTCAAACATGTTCTGATGCTCTCTTTCTAGAAAGTTAGAAGAGTTGGGAAGATGATGTGGATTTGAGAGCTCAGAGAAGTGATTTGCCACAAGGAAGTGTGGATGGTAAATGTTCATTAGATTGGTAGTATTTGAGAAAAAGTGGCATATTAGTGGTGGGACATGTCTGTGGTGCATGGCACAAAATTCTGAAATGGCTTCATGCTCGCTCTCAAGGCAGGCATTCAGGTGTGCAAGCAACATATTGACAGGTTAAAATGCTGATTTGGTGGCAGAAATTATTTGAAGATGTGAAAGAGTTTGTCAAGCCTTGTGATACTTGTGGAAGGTGCAAGTTTGATTCAGTGGCATATCCCAGGCTGTTACAACCACTTCCTATTCCTTGTAGTATTTGGGAGAGTGCGACCATGAATTTCATTAAAGGGCTACCCAAGTCCAATGGTAAGGATGCAATATAGAGCCCTGCTAGAAATCATAAGTTATAGGGATTCTATTTTTATAAGCAAATTTTGGAAGGAGTTTTTGAAGGTTTTTGTGGTTGAACAAAAACTAACTTCTTCATACCATCCTCAAATGGATGATCAATCTGAAGTACTTAATAGATGTTTTGAGACTTATTTGCGCTGTATGTGTTGGGAAAAGCCAAAAGAATGGAGTAAGTGGTTGTCTTGGGCTGAATGGTGGTACAATATTTCTTTCCATACTTTTCAACTAAGGGTACTCCCTATGAATTGTTGCATGGGCAACCACCACCAATGCATGTGCCTTATTTACCTTGAAATGTGGTGGTGGAGGCTATTGACAGGACATCATCTCAATAGGGCTGTGTAGATAATCAAGCAGAAGGCAGGTTTGCTGTGGATGAGCAATTTGAAGTGGGCCAATGGGTGTTTCTCAAGCTGCAACCTTATAGGCAAATTTCTGCAGCCTCTAGAAGTTCTCAAAAGCTAGCTTTGAGGTATTTTGGTCCCTATAGAATCTGCCAAAAGGTGGGACCAATTGCTTACAGATTGGGATTACCCTAAGCATAAAGGGTTAATCCTACTTTTCATGTTTTCTTGTTGAAGTTATGTCCTGATCCTTTAGTCAAATATAGGCATCCTCCTTTAGATTGGCCTGTTTTCCAACTAGTCTCAGACTCTCAAGTATCTTTCTGGGCTTACAAGCGGCTCCTTTTATGTTAGGAGCTTGACATTTGGATCCATATGAGTATTAACCAGTGGGCAATCTAGCATCCTTGTCTCTTTTAGAATATCAAGAGCATACTTCTGTTGTGATAAAGCAACTCTAGTTGATGATCGAGCTACCTCAATATCTAAGAAGTACTTGCTTGAGCTGGCCCAAATCTTTTTTGTTTGAAAGGATGTCATCAAATGGTGTTGAGTTTAAAGATCTCATCCTCATTATTGCCTGTGATAACAATGTTGTCCAAATAAACAACCAAATAAATGCATTGACCAAACAATGAGTGATTGATATGACCCTATGTAGCAACCCTTTTGGCAATCAAAGTGACATGCAAGATGGCATCTTATTTGACAGTCAACTCCCACATTGTAGCATGTGTAATAACCAAGTTTTAGGTGGCATTGCATGTCATCAAATCACCCATAGCCTAGTCATCCAAGTGGAGGAAAACCTGAGTGAAGATATTTATACTCAGGCTATAATATGTATTGGGAGTTCAAATCACTATATTAAAGGCTTAATACATAAGTATAAACTTGGAGGAGACAAATTGGGCCATGGTCTTACCTTAAGCCCTAATGCATATTCTACGTTTTATTCTCCTTTGGAGGTGAAGGTTTCAATTGAAGGGGGAGAAATGAGCAGCATGATAACCAAGCTAACAAAGGGTGCAGGAAAGTTGTCTTCGAACTTGGAGATTGGGTTTAGGTACATCTCAAGCCTGGAGAAATGAGTAGTATGATAAGTAAGCTAACAATGGGCCTTTTCAAGTGCTGGAACAAATTAATGAAAATGCCTACAAGATAGACCTTCCTAGCTCCTATGGGAATGTATTTGGCTACATTTAATGTTGTATACCTTTCTTTATTTAATACATGTGATTTCAGGATGAATCCTCTTTAGGAGGGAGGGAATGATGGGAATCAATGGATGAGTTAGAATCCAATATTTAGTACTTTTGATTTGTTGCAGGGCATTGGATGACCAATGACTAGATCTAGAATCAAGAGGATGAAAGAATCCTTGAATTCATTAATTAATGATGTTCTAAATGATTAAGGAGTCCTGAAGGCAAATAGAGTTCTAGAAGCCCTGAATTCATTAAGACATGGGCAGCCCAGCTTGTATTTTATTTGGGGCTGTATAGGGGATAAGTGTTAATGTTTAGATGCATGGTGGTTTTCTTTCTTTCTTTTTTCTTTGCTTTTTTTTTTTTTTTCCGGGTTGGGGGGGGGAGAATGTTAATATTGAGGGGTAGAGTTCATGGTCTCCTGAACACCAGATTTGGCTATGGAGAAAGGTCATCCTGCGTCATTTTCTTCTGTTCTCTGTGTTCTGTTGTTAGTGGGTCTTGTGCGTTAGAGTGGGTATCCCTTTGTATTTCCAGGAGCCTATTGTTGTTAGTGAGATTTGGTGTTTGTGGATTCTGTTGTAATTGTCTCTTCTTAGTGAAGTAGAGCGGGTGCATAAACACGTTGTGTACATTATTCCATAATCCTTTTGGAATACTTGCACACACACACTGACTGTAAGTCTTGCAATCCTCGCATAAAGCCAGAATTACTCTATTCCACTCTTTGGCATTTGTGCTTTGATTTTGAATTATAGTTTCTATTGGTAGTATGTGTTAATGTATTTTTTTTGTTTTGTTATACAATCCTTTGTGTCTTAATTATATTCAGAGACCTTGACAAACATTTTCTTTTTTAAATTTCACATAGTACTTAAAAAGGAAGAGGAGGAAAGGAAAGCCAAAGAAGGAAGTCCAGGGAAAGGCTTAACCACCGGTAGATGCTTAAAGTATTATTGGTTTGCAATCTTCTTCATTGCTTACATTTGGCATTTATTGACAGATTTGTATTTCATACAGGAAAAGTTGGTGGTCCAGACTTAAAAAGTTTTATTCGCCAATTTCCTTCTGAAGGTTATCTTCCTTTTCCTTTATTTTTTCCAAAATACTGAAATAATACGGGGTTCCATCATGCATTCTTTTTAAAGCAACCTATATCAAGCATACAGTTGGAAAAGCTTCATTCTATTCTCAATGAGAATGTTGCTCTCCCCCTTCTTGAAAACAAATGAAGATGTCTGTTCTATGTACATGTGTTATGGTATATTTGCTTGTTCATTGCTCAAAGTATTTAACACGTTCTCTGCGTTAGGTGATGGGGTTGAAGAATCATCTGCCACGATTAGTGACTTGAGGTGAGACTTTGGAGGATGCATGTATATTCATGCCATTTGGTGTCTGTATAACTAAGAATTTTATAATGCGCAAATTACAGAATTTAGGTATAAAATTTTTCCTTTTTCCCTCTTTGCCTTTTTCTAGAACCTATTAGAAAGATTATGTCTCTAAATTGAGAAAGTTTACATCTCCAAATTGATTCAGGGAACCGTGTTTAATCCACAAAACTCCTGAATTAGGTGAGAGACTGCATGATCTTGAGCATAAACCTGAGGACAGAACAAAATTAAATAGTTTGAAGTGATTAATGAATGACTTTGTCATCTATATTAATTCCAAGATTTATCCTACAAATCATCACTTGATTAATTATCCTTTGTTTGTAAATCTTATTTCAGGTCATCAGAACCAAGAGGATCTGGTGCAACATTTAAACCAGGAACCTGGCAGCCTCCAACTTGAATTTTTTCTTTTAAATAAACCTGGCAACACCAGCATTCGTTTCTGCTCAGTTTTAAAGTGAAAATGTATGGTACTTTAATCTAAAAAGTAACTTATTACTTGGTTAAGAAATCTTGCGTGGGGGATTCTAGTGAGCGCACTATAGCATTGTTTTTTTTTTTTTTTTTTTGTTTTGCCATTTTATTTACATTCAAAATATGTGCAGCACCATTATACTGCTTACAGAAACTTATATTTTAGCATGGTGGGGTAAAAATGTACGCCATTGTCTTGCCAATTCTATGAAATGAGTCTGGTGAAAATTATATTATTTTATTTAGGGTGTATTTGATTTAATGTCTAGTATTTATTTTTATTTGAGTATTATATCAAATAAACCTTGAATCGAGTCGTATATAATTTTCATCATCCATTTCACGTCAATTTGATACTATGGCCTGGTTCTCGTTTCTCTTCCATGCGTATTGATTATCGCTTTCCTAAATGAGATCCATCTTCACCCTAGGCTTTCACGGTTTTATATGGGTTGTTACCGAGAATGCTCATGCAAGAAATGTTGAAATCATATGTCACTCCACCCGAGTATGTTCAGCATCCACGAGATTACGGTGGCCATGGACGGAAGGCGTTTAAAGAAAGTTGCCAAAATGAAGCCAGAAGTTGAAATGGAGTGTCATTCAAGAAAGGGCTTAAAAAGTCTTAAAAAGATGAATTAATGACGGTTGAATTTTTGACAAAATTTTTTATAAAATAAATTGTAAATATTAATTCTAATAGTTATAAATAGGAATTTAAATTATAAACTAATTATTATATTTTGAATTTAAATATTGTATTTATAATTGAAGCTTTTAAATTTATAACTGTTTAAATTAATATTTATAATTGATTTTTTTAAAAAAATTTATCAGTGATCTAATTATCATTATTTTTTTTTTTTCGGGACTTGACTTTCATTCTCCCAAGAATCATTGAAGCAACAAAATCAAGCAATGGAGCAGAAAGAAGTTGAAATATGAAAAAGCTAAAGCGTACACAGCTGTTTCTCTCTCTTGGCAGCAAAATGTCATGTGCAGGGGGCAATTGTTTGGACTAAATTTGGTGCATTAGGTAGCCTGAGAAGTAAATGGAATCAACGAACAGAGATAACCCATCTTTGTAGAGTTAAATGGAATGCTGCATTTAGGAAGGAAGTGATGCAGTTTTTCCCACATCCCCCACTTCTCAAGTATTTCGACGCACTCACTCTCCCCACTTCGCACAACGTGGATCGCTCTCAGCCACAAAATGGCACGAATAATTACTTGCAGGTGGTGGTGCTAAACTTGAATTCAAAAGAAGTGCGTTTTTGTTATTTTTTTTATTTTATAAATAAGCAATAAGTACATGATTGAAGGACTCTCTCGACATTGCCAAATTTATACAAGACCTGCCAAGTGCAAAACAGCAATCCTAACCCTATATCACCCAATCTCGCCCAGTACAAGCCACTTTTTCTATGCAAACTTCATCTTCCTAAGCTAGTTTTGCATATATTTTTTTCTCTATCTTCATGGAGCACCCAGTTGTACTTATTTTGTCAATGATACCATCGAGCTTTACAGTCAACGCAACACATTTTTTATTGTTCTTGCACATACTTGACTCTTCAAGAAAATTGGGGTAAAGGATCTTAAAAACCTACTTGATCGTCTGATTTAACTCACATTTTTTAAAACCTACTCCTTTAACATGCTTGGCACACACCCTAAAAATTGCAACATTGCAATCTCTTTCCCAAAAATCGAACCAACACTTTTCAATGGTTGTGATTTAATTTTTAATAAATTATTATTATTTTACATAAAAATATACAAGTAAAATATTATAGTCTTGAATTGTTTAGGTCAAATTTTAATAGTTCAAATTTATTTATATATTTTTATGTAAAATTATGATAACAATTTTATCAAATATTAAATTAAATTCATTTAAAGTTTGATCTAACGATAATGAAGAGAAAATGAAGGGAAAGGAGAGTAAAGGAAAAGGCGAGGCCCTCTCCTATCATTAATCGATCTTCATATTAATTTTCTAGCTTTTTGAATTGGAAAATCATATATTAAAATTTTGTAATCAAGTAAAATTCTTATATTTTACTTTCAATAGATAATATAGCTAATATATTTAATTTATTTTATAACATAATTGTTCTTAAATAAGGTTTAAGTAATTTTAAATTCAAAAAATAAATCAAGACCATCAATGTCAGAATGATCATTAAAATTTAGGAATTTTTCAAGATTAATACAAACAATTTTCAATTCATCCTCATTTTAAGCTTTGAATTTGTTTGCCAACATATAGCGATTGATGATTGAGGTATCTCCTCTTTGTTTTTCTTTGTCTTATGTACTATTCCAGTGTAGTTAATGATAGTTTCCAGGTTATATTGAAAAAAACTTTAAATTGTTAGTGAAAATATGTAATTAACATTATTAATGCTCAATGAGAAAAATAATGACCAATAATATAAGACATAAGCAAACATATTTTGAGGCATAAAGCGGTAGCCTTAATGGCCTACCACTCTACATGGCCTCGGCAGTTGTAAATTCAGTTAGTAAGTTTATACTTTGTTACACATCCGTTGTATTTGTTAGAGACTTACGGCTTATATATACATATATATTTAAATAATTATAATTCTTTTTATTAATCTGTATAGACCAATTTTAACAAAGTTACCTCCTCTTTAAACAATAAGGACTCCATTAATAACTGATGCATACTTAAATGATCAAATCATTAAAAAAATAAATAAATTAGAAGATAAAATCGATAACTAATATAAATTTGAGGAATTAATAAAATTTCATTATATTCCAGATATAAACTATTGAATCAAATTTAAATAGCTAAAACATCACAATAAAACTATAGCAAGTGTATATAACTCGAGAGTTCATTGAATGCCAAACAGATCAAAAACTCACAAGCAATTCCGACAACAATATAATTGCTATTGTTCATGAAGTCATACATACATACATACATATATAGTGGCACGGACCCAGTCGTATGGCTGAGGCACCATGGCCCCCAACACCTAGGTCCCCCTGGGTCCTTTTAATATATACTCCATATATTTTTTTGACCATGATATATACTCTATGTATGAGAAGTTTTTTTTTTGGTCCTTGGGAATAAATATGAAAAACTCTAATCACCCATGTCATCATACTACTTTTTTCTAGCAACTCTACATTTTTCACATATAATTTAATATTAGACTATTAGCATATTAGTTGATATTTTATTTATTCACTATTAACATATTAAATAAAATAAATAGATATTGTTAGTTTATTGAAAAATTATATATCCTTTCTTTAAATGATGTAATGCATTTTTAATGGAATCTTAGCTCCCAATAAATTAGTTATTTGTCGTTAAGCTTACACCATCCCAACGCTAGATGACATGTTGTGAACTTGTGCTTTAGAGTTGAGAGCTAGTTGGGACACTCTTCTACCATTGGCAGAGTTCGCCCATAATGATAGCTACCACTCTAACATTGAGGTGACTCCATATAAGGATTTGCACGGGAGAAAATGTCAATCGCTTCTATGTTGGATGGAGTTGAGTGAGAGAAGTTTGTTGGGTTTGGATTTAATTGACTAAACTACTCAGAAGATACAAAAGATTAAGCAAAAGTTATTCACAGCCCAAATTTGACAGAAGAGCTATGTGGATAGGCGTAGAAGACCATTGAAATTCCTTGTGAGCGATCATGTGTTCTTGAGAGCCACACCAATGAATGGTATTGAGAGATCAATAAAAGCCAATAATTTGACTTCTAGGTTTATTGATCCTTTTGATATTTTGGAGAAATTAGGACTTGCAGCCTATGGGATTGCATTATTGCCGTGTTTGTGAGTCAACTTAAGAAGTATCAATTGGATCCTTCTCATGTCATTGAGTTGGAAGATGTAGAACTTCAAGAGAAGTTGACTTATAAAGAAGAACTAGAGCAGATTGTTAATGTGAAAGACCGGTAATTGAGAAATAAGACCATTTGTTTAGTTAACTTATTTTGGAAGGACATGACTCTCGATGATACAACATGGGAGACTGAGGATAAGATGAGACAATTATACTCTCACTTGTTCTCATAGGTACGCGATTGTATGAGATTTCAAATTTTGAGGGTAAAATTCCTAAAAGAAGGAGAGAATTGTAATATCCTCAATTTTTAACTTTGGAATTTTAAGTGTTTAATAGGGGTAAATTAGCAAAATTGAGTGATTAATGAGTTAATAATGTTTTCGGGCTACTAATGAAGTTTTTAAACCTTCAGATAGTTTTATAATTAGACTAGTGTAAACAATTATGGAATTGGATGTCATTTGAAAAGTTAGAAAAGTGTTATGTGATTAATCATTCATAATGAAAGATATGTGTATGAAAGATTGGCATAAGCATGATCACTATGAGAGGGTGAGAGTTTATCCTATAGTTGTCAAGGGATATTTTTATAAAATCTATATGGTACACTGGCATAATAGAAGTCCCGGTGCACAATCTATTCTTATTCAAAAGTCCCAGTACTATTTGAGATAAATTAGGTAAATGAAACCCTAAATATTTGAGAAAAGGGTGAGTCTATGGTCTATAATGGGTGAAGGTTCCTTTGGTCGATGATGCCTACCATGATTGGTGAGCTTGGGCTGGTCAAGTCACATGAACTTGGTCCTATTGTATTGTTATCCCATAAATTTAGTTGGAGGAAATTAGGTGGAAATTAATGATCAACATTGTATAAATGCTATAAGATAATCATGTATTTGTGTGTATCAGATAAATGTTTTATTTTCTACTTCACACACTCATATGCTATTCTTGTATGCATGTGAATATATTAGATTGTTTAGTTACTGAGTCCTCGACTCACCCCCATGATTATATTTTACAAGTGAAGGCTCTGATAGGGGCAAAGGGAAGGAAGACTTGTTTAGGGTTTAATGAGCTTAAGTTTGTATAGTTCTTCCCCTCTCTTTTGGTATTGTAATGAATAATTTATGAAATTTATGCCAACTTAGAATCATATATTATTTTGATGCACTTGCATAAGGAATTGTGTCATTTTAGTTTATTTCAGCTTAGGATGATGTATTCAATTGGAAATTATTGTTAGAGATTAAAATACTAGTGCAAGTGTAGCTATTGTGTTCATTGTACATGTATGATGGCCAAGAGATTGTTATCTGTAGTTTATTGCCACCCCCTTCAATTATTGTGAAATTGCAATTTTAATGGCCAAAGTATGTTTGAAG